TTTTTAGTCAAACACCTGAAGTGCTTTTGACAGGTAATTTCCAGGAAAGCAGAAACTATGCCCACTAAAACAAAACCTGGAGATTTTCCACCTGGTGCGGTGTGCATCCGAATCACAAAAGCCAGGTCTCTTCTGAGCACAGCTGAGCTGCGGGTGGAAATTCCTGTCCCAAAGAGAGAGGCGCTGGCCTTTTGAAGGGCACATAGTGAAGGAATTTTGCTTTCTCCCTAAATTTGCCCAGAAGCAAAATGTGCGAAGGGCGGCCGCTGCTCGCTGAGCCCGGCACGTGCGCCAAGAGGTGCCCAGAGCCGGGATCATGCTCATAATAAGAGAACAATTTAGTAGCAAGGGCCTTAACATGCATAAGGTGAAGCCAGCCACTTAGCTGTGCCTGGCAGTGCATTTCCAAGGTGCTTCCATGAGGAACGTTCCTGTTTTCCTTGTGCAGCTCGGGGTAGTTAGTTCTGCGAGAGGGTTGACACTTTGCTCTGCGCTGGTTTCTTTGGTTGCTCTGATTTTAAGAGATTGACCCTATTAAAAAGATCTCTAGGGTAACGGCTGGAGCACGCATGTGGAAAACAGAATGAGAATTAAGTACCTGTTTGTCAGTTCTGATGAAGTTAAATATTTAAAAGGCTGCGTTTTTAAAAGTGCAGATAATATAAACTAACTGCTAATGCTGGAGAAAAAAATTAAAATTACATTAGATACCTGACATACTTCTTCCTTATGAGTTTGAGGAAAATCGTCTCCTGATGCCGTGTGTACCTGGTGGGAACAGCCGCTTTCGTTGTTTCATTTCCATCTCAAAAGAGTCTCGACATCAAAGGTCAAAATCATCAATACATAGCCAAGCTAATTAATAGCTCTTAGTATCCCTATAAAACCCATTTTTTAACATCACTTTCATTTAATTCCAGTCATGTCCACCAACTTGATAAACTTTTTTATAAGTTCTGTATTTTGTAAAATTAATTGCACTTTTATTCTTGTGTTCTGAGTTAATTATAGAGCTAGCAAGGTTTATCTCTTATACATTAAATCTAGCAAGTGCTCTTTTAGCAATCAATTGATATTTAATTACAAGAGAGAAGCTGCCCTATTAAATCTAAATTAAATGCTCATTCAAGACTATTAAAGTGTTACTAGAGCATCAGACAGCAAATGCTGTACAATGCTGCATAAACCTCTTTGTGAGTGGTTTTCTAGCRCTGCTTTGTAAACTTGGATAGAAAAGATGACCTCGGATGACATTTTCTTCAATTTTGGCAAAGTCCTTAGCAAGATTACCTGTATAAAACCAGCTGTATTTAATGGCAATGCAACGCAGTGACTTCCGAGGGCTCCATGCCAAGGTCTTCGTGGCTCCCCCGGTGGTCCAGGCCAAACTCCACGTCTTCCTGCCCGGCCACGCTCATGCCACCCTCGCCCCTGGGCCATGTCACACAAGCTGGAGGCCATGGAAGCACCTGGGCAGTGGAGAAGGTTGAAGATGCCCCAGCTTTTTGCCCGTTTTTCTCCTCCTTTCTCGCTGCTTTCTGACARCCCAGTAAGAGACCAGTATTTGCCTTGAACCGCTGGTAGCTGTAAGTGGTGAGTGGACAAAATGACAGTGACATCTTTAAATAAAGTTTTTTCTGTGTGATTTAACATTGAATTTCATTGAATATTCGTGATACCTCAGATTTCTGTGTAGCCTCTCGTGACCAGGATGGCTGAAGTGCTAAGCCAGGAGTTGTGGTCCAGGCAGGAAGGATTYGTACCTAAAAAACTAAAAAGCTCATTTTAAAAATTCATTTAAAGTGATAGCTGTTTAAAAAAACGGTGTGGGGCACAGCCACAAGACTGCAATAAGTTTTTGCTTGGGCAAGATTCTCTTACAATCTTGAGCTAACAAGTGAGGCTGGCTCTGGGTTTGGCTCGTTAGCAAAGCCAGGAGCTGCCAAAGCCCAGGAGCAAAGTCAGTACCGGGTGTGGAGGCTGAAGCACCYATTTGGACTAATGGAACATTGTATTTGAACTGGGAAAGATTTTTAAAAATTTCTCATAAAGAAAGCTGTACCTGTGTTAAATAGCCAAAAAGTTGGTTTYGTTTTTGTTCTGCTTTGCTGTTGTTGCTGGTCCATGTGGAAGGCATTTAAGCGACTTATATTTCAGTCCTGAAAGAGGAACTTCCATTACTCAGTATAAGCCATTATTTCTATGAGTTATGGGTCATCCATCAATTAAATTTATAATGCATCATACATATTCATGCCAACACGTTCTTAGAAGACTAATGTTAACTTTGGTTTCCCTTGGCCTGTTTTCCATCTCCATTACCTGCCCTCTGCAAGCTTCCCATTTAAAAGAAGTCGGCGCAAATTTTTCTTTAATAATTTTGACCGGTTAATGGTTAATGGTTGAGCAGCCCTGCGAAACGCAGCGGTCCAGGCCGAGGTGGCAGTTTGGACAGGGGGTTAGCTGCAAAGTTGGACCTCGAGGCACTAAACACTTTTCCTTTTAAGTAACTGGCTTTGTCTGTTCTTTTTTGTTTGTTTTGGTTTTTTTTGTTTTTTTTTTTCTTTCATCAGAAGAACAAAATTGTCTCTTTTGCAAGGTGAGACAAAACCCACTCTTCACACAGCGGGATAAGGAGGGGGAAACTCTTTCAGGCTGAGCAACAGGAAGCAGGAGCACTGCAAGAGCATCGRACAGTTTTGTGCTGCTCGTGCAGGAGCCAGATCTTTTACAAAACGCCTCCCTTGGAGCACGGAGAAGTTGGAAGTCAGCACGGACTGCATTTCATGGGTGACCCCCTTGCTTTTGATCAGCCTCGCACTCTGCTCCCGGCTCTCGCTCCTACCAGGAGACAACGATCCCTCTGTCGATATTTAAGACAAGAGGTGGCCGAGGTGGCCGAGGAGCACCAGCGCGCGGCTCATGGGCAAGTGCAGCTCGCGGAATGCCGGCTTTTCCGGTGCGGGATCCAGCAGAAGGGGCTCGGCCGCGAGCATCCCAACGGCTTCCCGTGCCTCTGCCGGAGATTCCCTCCCAGGGAATGGATCCAGGGAAGGGAACGCAGGATTTCCCTGCTGCAGCTCATTCCCTGTCCATGCGGAATGAACCACTCCAATGCACACCTGGTCCTTGGTTTACCCCAGACAACAGTAAATGGAAATAACCTTTCTTTTTTTATTATTATTTTTTTTTTATTTTCCTTCTGAGGAATGAAATTCTTCTTTTTGAGCAGCTGTAAGAAGTTAYTGCTAGGGTTCCAACAGCTGGTCGTGCTGCTGTCCTTGGGTGCCTGTGTGTGTCCTGGTTGTGAGCACGGGAGCAGGTGGCAGCCGCACGGAATGCCACGATGTGCTCGTGGCCGTGACGCGGCCGGTGGCACCAGGGAGATGCTAAAGTTTTATTTCCCAGTTGCAGGTTTCGCGTTCCACAGTGCTTCTCATTTGCAGAGCTTGGCACAAAGGAARATGTCAATAGTTAGGAGTATGGATGAGTCTTATGGTCCCATTTTAATTCCCTCATCTTCTGCCAAAGAGACTGCTCTAATCCTTAATTATTCCCTAAACTGCTTTTCCGATTTACTGGAACTACTTCAAACTGAATGTGAAGGTCTCTGGGCTGAATCCTTAAGCTATACTCCGGCATTAAGATGTGTTTCTCATACCTTGCCATGAAGCGTATCTTGACTTAGGGCACAAAAACTTGAGAAGAGTTTAGCGTTTAGGTCAGCATTTGAAGTAAGTGAACAAAAAAAAAAAAAAAGACATATTCTGTCTAAGCAGAGGTAGTAGTTGAAAAGCAGCACTTGGCCAAGTGGTTTATTGGTGTGGTCAAGCTGTGGTTCAGCTGAACCAAGCTTATTTTTGAGTRGGAAAGGTTGGACAGATTGCTTTCCATGCCCAGCCTCAGCATCTCCAGGWGCTTGCTGGTCCCTGCTGAGCCACTGGCAGACAATGCCAGGTACATCCATGAGACCATCACCGTGAGACAGGGCAGACGTGGTGTTGCTGGGCTGGCCAGGGTCTTTCTCAGCAGTTCTCCTTCCAGTGGCATGGTCAGTGGTGGCCAGCAGCGGTCAGCGGTGGTTGGTGGTGGTCAATGGTGGTCGACAGTGGTCAACAGTGGTCAGCGGTGATCAGTGATGATTAGCGGTGGCCACCAAGGAAGGGACAACAGGAGCTGCCGATACTGAGGGCTCCCTCCGACCGTGACGGCCACTGCTGATCACTATATCCTGAGCGCATTAAAGGTTCGCACTTTTGTTGAGTGTGTTTCCTTCCAACTCCTGTGTGTATTAACCTAATTTCTTCTTAATTGAAATCACATGGTTTTTAATGTCTTTCTACAATATTTCCCTGTCCGCAGCGGTAGATAAAAATCTCACCCTATTAGATATTGCCACCAACTCAGCACATTAATATTCATCATTACCTTTGGTGTGCTGCCTTTCAATTAATTTCCAGCCCACATGAAAGTGCTTCTCTCTAAGCCTATTTAATTAATTTTCAAGGTAAAATTTCTCTGAGACTGTATCTGCCACTTCACTCCAGATATAACACAGATGCCTTGAATCTGTTTTGATAAGTCTATTGAAAAAAGAAAACAATCCAGTTTGRCTAACAAGATATAGTTTTGATACATTTTACTGCCAGTGCTTTTCTGTACCACTTCAGAATGAGAAGATCTGTTATTCCTGATGTGGAGAGGGATTGCCTTAGAAACTGGGCTGCTGGTGAAGAGMAGTCCTGGGATTTTATGAGCCTCGCTCCGCAGTCACGCACTGGAGTGAGATTGCATGGGTGCTTCAAAGGTGACAGGGAGTGAACGGCCAAAATTCGCATTGTCCAGCAGGAGGCCAGGGAACGACAGCAGGACTTGAGCTCTGCTGCAGGGGTAGCTGCTGTGTACGTCTAGTCCGTTGTGTTGGGCAGAGCTCATGGGGGTTGCTTGTTCTTTTGAGTAGAGACAGCTTATTCTAATTGCACATATGTGTGTYGCTACAGGGTGCAGCGGCTGAAGCAAGAACATCTTGGCTGGGAGGTGCAGCCTGCATGGAGGACGGTGCTGCGGACACAGCGGATTGACCACAAGAGGCCATTGCGCCTCTGCCCTGTGTGCTGAGGTAGGCGTTCCTGTGCATACACACCGTCGGACGTACGCGCTTCCTTGTCCAAACTGTATGTGAACCCTTCACCTCAATCATAATGATTATATCAGCAGGTGACCAAGACAAAGGCTTTTTTCCTGACATTTTTCGGATAAAATATAAAGTAGTATTCAATGTCACTCTAGCTGGCTTTCAGAAAGATTTGTGGGTTTGGTTGTGAAGCTGGATATTATAACTAATGACTTGAAGTAAAAAATTACTGGACAGATGTTGCCTTCATGACAAGYTTGATTGAGTAAATGCCAATGAAAAGTAGTTCCTCGTAACAGATTCATCTCCTAACATTAAGGATATCAGGATATCCTTGACAAAGTTTAAAAGAAGAGCAAAACAAATGCACTTGTTAGGTTGGCTGAAAATTAAGTGGCCCAGACTTGGGTTGATCACTCCCTCCCTGCATGGTTCAGTTCCTCAGAACGTCCCCTGCTCACTGCTCTGTTCAGCATTCTCATCTCAAACCCTCTATATATTTCAAAAATAAAAAGGAAAGCAAGGTGATTGCTGAGAAGAAACTAAAGTAGCCAAAGAGCATGCCAAGAATATCAGAAAACAACATATAGGCATTAATCCAACGAGTTTATGTACAAAATTATTCTTCTGAAGACCACAGTGTTTTCATTTCCAGCTATTTTACAGCTGTTGGTGGTGGCTCTGCATCTAACAAGTACAGTAGCGTTGAGTTCTTTTCTTGATTTTGTTTTCTATACCACGTAATCTTTATGTTTGTAGAGGGACAGGCATATTGTTAAGTCTCTAAGCTTGATGGGCTCAACTCCTGCTCAGATTTGGAAGCGAGGGGATTTGTGTGTAGTTACTGAGAATATATAAAGCAAACAATGCTCTTTCTTTGAAGGATGGAGCATATTTTATCTGAGATACTGCATGCATTGAAGCCTCTGCTTGCCTGGGTTATCCACACTATCACAATCCAAGTAAAAATAATAATAAGAGAAAAAGCCAAGGTAAGGGGCAAGACCAATGTAAGTGATGTATGGAGTCTTATAGGGTGTATGAACCTGTGAAGGGCTAAGCAGAGTAGTAGGTATCTTGTATCACAGTCCTTGGTGACTGTTGTTAAGAAAGAAAATGACCTCCATGATGGTGGTTGTTTATTCCAAATAATGTATTTACAGAAATATATATATGACTATCTTTAATTTTTTAACTTTGCTCTGGTTTTAATAATACTTGAACAGTTAGGAGTTGCACTATAGGAATAGACCCCAGCGGGGCAAGTTGTTATGTGAACATATAATGCCTTGTTAGGAAGCCACTCAAAAGCCAAGAGAGTAAAGAGGACTCTGAAGTTTAAGTGAGTGGAGGCCTCTGAAAATATAAGGGAGTTTGGGGGAAGGATCTGATGTGAATGCAGGATTGTGGCATTCTGGGCTGCTCCAGGCTCCTACACTGGCACTAGGCCAGAGGGGACTTTGGCTTTTTCTGAGCTGTCTCTGCATCAGTACAGATCTTCTGTCCTTAATAGAGGAGTCTGATTTCTACAAGAGTCTTTTTATAATAGCAATCTGGCATATTATAAGCCATTTCTTTTTTTTCATGGGGTTTGACTCTTTTCATGGGGTTTGGCTCTTTTACATGGCTTAATTCCAGGTTTGACGGTTTAATTCTTGTTTGGGGGAGAAGGAGCTGGGGAGAAGGCAAGAGAGAGGAAGGGACACTAGTTTCACTTCTGGAAGTGATAGTAAGGTACATTTTTGAGAGAGAAAGTTTCTGATTTGTTCTTTCCTCTCCATTATATAATCAGCATCTTGAATCTAATACCCCTTTCGTGGACTTTTACAAATAAAGTCCAGATCACTGTTTCAGTTGAACATTATAAAGACAGAGGAACTCCAGCAAACCAGCCCCTTGCAGAACACGTGGCTTCCCTGGGTGCCASGTGTTGGCTGTGTGAGACACTGCAGGAGGAGCTTTAGGAGAAGGAACGAGTTCTGCACAAGGTCAGAGTCATTTGTGCAGCTGGAGCACTGCACTTTAAATCCYATTTGTATCGACAAAAATCTGCCTCTTACATGGCTACCGTGGCAGGTCATCCAGGTGTGCTTGTGTTTATGTAGATGGTTAAATTTTCACCAATTAAAGTCTAGGGATCAGTTCTGGGTCAGAAGGAAAGGCCATTCATGAAATGTGTCTGCACCTTGTGAATGACTTGGTCSTTATGTGCATGGCCTGGTTTGCAGCATACTGTATTATACTGAGCTTATTCCTGCTTTGCTTCATAGGAGTCTTCTTTTTGATACTAAAAGAGTTAAAAGAGGTTCTAAATACTTACCTTTGGCTACACAATGCAAGTAATAGAGATAAGAAATCAAGTCTATTACAGGAATTTGTGGTGCATAYGAAGAGAGAAGTCCTGGCTAAGACATTTCCCTGGGTCTGAAGGAGCCACGTGCTCCTTAGGGATACATGAATGTCCCTGTGCCTGTCTCTGATGGCTTTCCTGGCCGTACTGTGATATGGATCCCACATATGCTGTCCTTGCTGTGTTGTGCGTAGGAAAGAGGTCTTCCACAAGGAAGGCTCTTTGAGTGCCCTTCTCCGGGACCTGGGGCTTATGTGAGAGCAGCTCAGCACCGTGCACAGCCCTGCTGTGATGGGTACACAGAYGGTTTTGTACGTGAAGTGTCACCTGTTATTGCTCAGAGATGAGAAGATCCAAAGATGAAAGCYTGACACAGTATTGGAATTTGGAGAGGATACAAGAAAGCACAGAAGGAAAGAGAAAAGTAGCAGCAAGGGCAATCCGGATTTTTGGGAACAGAAAGGAGAGAGAGGATGGTGTTCATTCACAGGGAATGCCAAATGTATTATTAGCAATTGGCCAAGAAGATTCTCACTTCTTTCTGAAGCACTGAAGATTCCTTGCTGGCCTTCTCTCTGTAAAAAGACAGGTAGCTGCTTTGTTCTCTTCTTTTGGAGGGAACCGTCACTGCAGTGTCTTGGTTTGTGCACAGTTAATGAAAATCAAGATAAAGGCTAATGAGCCAGTAATAAGCAAGAGTATGAGCTCATTGCAAAATTTAGCTGTGGACATAATCAAGGAGATTTACAGCATCCATTTTAAAAATTATTTACATCTCCTGTGGCAACTTGCTATTAATGGAGCATAAATCAATAAGAAATTAATTCCAAACTGTTCCTAAGKCTGTGTGAACTGCAAGAAAATCCTAGGAGGCAATTCATAAATAGGAGCCTGGGAGAAACACGTGGCCACAGTGGCTTTCCCAAGGTCTGCAGACTGCAGAAGCCATTAAAAGGTCCATTACAAGAGGGATCTGCAGCGGTGGCAGATCTGCCCGTAACCCCAGGGACCCTCTGAGCACAGAACAGTACTCCCAGGTCAGGCATCCATCCAAACACAGGCACATTCCCTCTTTCCCCTCCTCTCCCTGCCTTGCTCCCTCTCCTTTCCTCCATCCATACCTCTCTGCAAAGGCCAAATGCAGAATTGCTCTCAGATAGAGGAATGACTCCTGTTCACTCCAATATGCTCCAGTATGGACCCGAAAGACACAATCCAGATATCAGCATTGCTGCAAAAAAAGGCAATTCCTGTAACACTGTAACAGCATGGCCAGCATCTCCAAACACCSATTTAGCTTCACTCACACGGAGACCTTTTCTGTGCTTATTCTCWGATTCCCAAACTCTTGCAGGTATGTAGCTGGAGCAGGGAAAGAGTGAGGGCCATCAGGTGAAGGGGATGTTGTCTTCCTGACAACTTTTCCTCTTTGATGCTGAGCTGCTGAAGTCCCTCCACTCTCGGGGGATAACAGTGCCCAAGCACTGCAGATGGTGCACGCAGCACGGGAGGAGCTGAGGGCCCCAGTGGCAGTGCTGGGAGGTCCAGAGGGATTGGTGTGCCCTTAGAAAAGCCACTGAACTGTCAGGTGCAGTCTTAGCGTTCTCAGTGAAACTGAATTTCGACAGAAAATGCCGAGGCTGTTGTCGTAGTTGTATTTATAGTCTGCATAGCCTTAACTCAGTGTGGGATGAATCTAGCCTTTCAATTACTTTGAACTAGGTAGGTTTGGTTTCATTTTCAAACTTTCTCTGAAACATTTTGTCTTTAAAATCCTCCATTTGTGATTTTATTGCCTGATATCTCTGTATGCAGCCTCAAATGTGAAGCTTAAACTAACATGCAGGCAGTGACAGCGYGCGGAGGGAGCTGCAGCGGCAGCATGTGCAGGAGAAGAGGGCTCCTACGCGAGCTGTTCTAGAGAGTGCAATGGTTAGGCACCTGGTGTTGAACCAGCAAGGGCATTCCCTGCAAAAGGAACTACATCTCGATGTCCTGGCAAACCTTTCAGGAAAAGAGATTGTCACTGACACACACTCAGGGTTCCAGTGGCCAGCAGGGCTGTCCTGCTGAAGGCTTCATCCAGCTCACAGGGGTTGGAACRTAGCTGAAAGCTGGACCTAGGAGGGCCAAAAACCCCATAGGAGGAAAAGAAGGAGCTGTGGGAATGTGTTTTAGGCTTGCTAGCAGTACATGATCACTCTCCTGCAAAAGAAGAGCGATGAAAAGCCAGGTTTAACATCCATGAACATTCATGTTCACTCGTCACTCTGTGTCTGCAGCGACACCTGGGCGCAGGGCTCGTGGGGCYGGCCGCGTTGCTGTGAGCAGCTCTAGCTCCACAGAAACGGGAGTGTGATGCTTATGGACTTGAGGCGCCTCACAAAGATCACCAAGTAGCAGTATCAGTAAATTAAACCTCTATGTTGGTGCTGGTCTACCTTGTCCTTACCCATCTCCTTTCTGCATGAGGCTCGTGCGAGCTCCAGCTTCTTYGGTTCCGCCAGCACCAAGTGAGTTTGATGTTTCAGGAGCGGACAGTTGAAGCAGGGTGTCCTTCCTTGGAGAGCTGAGCTTGCCGATCTGCTGGAGTGTTGTTACGGGTTCGGAAAACCTCATAATGAGTGAGTTTAAA